TTGTTGAAAAATTCAGAGGAGAAAGTGAGATTGTGAGATTCGGCGGGGGACCGACGGAGGACATCAACGGCGGTGGAGGACGGCGGCGGTGGACATAATCAGGCCACCCTCTCGTATTGGCAAATTTGGCCAACAGCAATTCTGCGCCTATAATAATAATAATAATAATAATTCTTTTATCAATTATTGCACGTATCATTTTATTTAGGGAAATTATTTCAAATGGTCAAATATTTTACAAAGTTCATTTTTTCTTTTCGAATTTTACCATTTTAGATTTTGAGATTTGAATTATGATACCTGGTCTCCAAATTGCCCTCTAATAATAAATAAATAATTTTGAAGCAAATCTATTAATACAAATTGTAATTTTTTCCTTACCCATCATGATTTATAATTAATTCTATATTTATTAATTCATATAGAATATTTATATTAAATGCCAAATCTTTTAATTTAATTGGGGTCATCTTGTATTTTAATAACCTAGATTTAATATTGACTCAAAATTTTCTCAATATGGTAGGCATCACCATTGTACTATAAAGAAAAATGTTTTTATTTCGTCTATTATATTTTAACATTTTTCAAATTTACTCTTTCTCTCGGTAAATTTTGAGATTAACTAATGATAAACTCATATGACACCATATTTCTTAAGTCGACAGATATTCGATAAATTATAGTATGTTCAAATATATATTAGTTAGCTAATATGGACATACTTAGGTGTTAATTGACATTTACTCATTTCTTCGAAGTTAGAGGATCAAACTTCTATACTCATGAAAAAATAAATATGTTCTTTTTTAGAATTTTCACTATTCGAATTATAGAATGTAAAAATAGTTTTAAAAAACAAACATGTGAAACACTTATTCACTAAATCAAAACTTGAAAAATAAGAAATAAATTATGATGGTCTATCAAACATGTCTTTAAATATTTAAAAAAATATATTATGAGAAAGTTGGTTGAAGAAAAGAGTCTTTCCCAATGCTTTTTTTTAAAAAAAAAAAATTGCTTGCATCTACATCTTCTACGCATTGCTTATCATCAACAAACGTCATATTATGTAGATACTTTCTCAAGTGTCGGGAGAAGCTAATTTTAGCTACAATATAGAAAAGTGACGATATAGATGTTCTCTACTAAGGTTTTAAATGTCGAGGTCGATGAAAATATCAAAATCTCAATTTCATGAAAATATAAGAACTTTGTACCACATCCTAATTGTTTATTTTTCTTAGGACAACATGTGAAGGATGAACGATGGAGATATATGTCAATTACCGTTAAACTATGCTCTCTTTTGCATACCACACCTCAATTATCATTCTCCTTGATGTAACTGATTTTTCTACGTTTAAAATCAGTCCATAATATTTGTTTTGTGCTTTACTTTTGTTCCTAAAATTTCAAGTTATCCTTTAACATACAGAATCTATTTTCAATCAAATTCTTATTAAGATGATATGTAAAATTAAAATGAACAACCTTTTTAAGGAATTTGTTATTTTGTTAGTTGTTTAGAATTTTTCATAGGTTTATTTTATATATCAACAAGATAATTCAAGTGGGTAAATTATCATAGAATTGTCAATCCGAACATAATTTAATAGAGAAAACACTCGTTATCATTCCAAAGATCGATAGTTTAATCACTCCTCGCCCAATTATTGAACAAAAAAAAAAGAAAAACCATAGAGTTAGATGATATAAAATGGGCAAGTTTGACACGTCTATTTTAACAAATTAACACAAAGATTTTCAACTCAATTAATAAAAACATATTTTATCATCACATAATTTTGTCAATTAATTCCAATATTTTATAACAACAATAACTTAAAAATCATTATAAAAGATGGAAGACAAATAATAAAATTGACCCAAAAATTATATTATATATAACCTATAATTTATGATGACACTTTAACTTTCAATACTGACTAATTGCCTATGTACCAATTTTTGTAGTCACAGGATATAATGAAGGAAAATGAGCTCCTCATACCTCCCCTCGGCAATTGGCAAAATTTAGCTTCCAAGTTCAAGACAGCCACAGTTTTCTTATAACAGAAATGCAACCTTCCATATCCCTTGTCTCACTGAAAGCTCCCTTATTTTTATGCACAAGATTAGGCATAACCAACCCTACGACAGAGAGATTCCGATGGGTCCAAACCGTTCTCGATCATCTCTTTAAGTAACTCCTTCGCCTCGGTCGACTTCCCGTCCTTGCAGAGGACTTCAATGGTAGAACTATAACTAGCCTGACTTGGAGTCATTCCTTTCCTGACCATTTCTTGAAGAAACTTCAAGGCCTTGTAAGAGTTGCACTCCTTGCAGTACCCATTTATCATTGTATTATAGATAACATCATTAGGTTGTAGATGCGTCTCAATCATTGATTTATACAGCTTTGATGCCTCTACCATGTTACCTTTCATACACAAACCATGCATTAGAACACCATATGTATACTGATCCGGGACTGAACCGACTTTCTTCATGAGATGAAACATCTGAGAGGCTTTCCCCACATCGTCTGATCGAACAAAGGCGTCCATCAGAATCGTGTATGTTACTTTGGAGGGAGAAATGCCTCTGTCCTCCATCTCTCTCACTAACTCACAAACTACAGCAGAATTTCCTGCTTTTGAGAAACCTGCAATCAAAATGTTGTAGGTCACTGAAGTTGGAGACAGACCAATCAACTTCAACTCATCAAAATAACTTAAGGCCTTATCAAACTTTCCAACGTTACAGAACCCATCCATCAACAAGTTAAATGTTATAGTAGATGGATTTATATGAGCTAGTTTCATTTGCTCTAACAACCATTCTGCTTTCAGAACTTGTCTGTTACGACATAATCCACCAATCAGAATATTGTAAGTGACTACATTACACGATACTCCTCTTGTACGCATTTCATCGAACAACTTAAATGCGAGACACAATGTCCCATCCCTGCAATACTCGTTAATAAGACTGTTATAAGTATATACACTAGGAAACACCCCAATAAGATTCATCTTCTCATAAAGCTCAAATCCATCCTTCTTACATCCTTTCTTGAACAACCCATTGATCATCACAGTGTAAGTATATTGGTTAGCAACCAAACCAAGGTCACCCATCTTCGAAAACAATACTTTAGCCTGCTCAATGTCACCATTTTTGCAGCAGGCATCAATCAAAATAGTGTATATAACAACATTGGGAGACAAACCCATCCTCTCCATTTGAGCCAAAAGCTCAAAACCTTTACTTACATTGCCACCTTCACAAAAGGCTTTAATCATTATCCCAAAACTATATACATCAAAGTGAGTCCTCCCCAGAAATTCATTGAAAAAACACCAAGCTTTGTTTAAATCCCCTGACTTAGTAAGTAAACCCAATACATTATTGAAAGAGTTTGAACTCGGACAAAGGCCTTTAAGGACCATTAGTTTGAAATGGTTCAGGGATTGTTCTGGTAATTGAGATTGAACATGAGCGCTGATGATTGCTTCATGAGGACAGCCACAGAGTGGATAATTATTCAGATTTGATCGAGTTGAATGGGTTAGAATAGAAGAAATGGTGAAGAAATGCGAGAAGATGCGATTGGAAAGAACTTGTACGGGAATGGAGTGAACTTGTGGTCGCATATCGGAGGCAAGAAAGTGGTGCACGAAGCCAGTGAATTTGGGTACCATAAAAAACGAGACTAAAGAAGAACTAAGAATCAATGACAAGAGAGATATGACATGAAGAAAAACAGAGACTAATGCATTGATCTTCAGAGCTTACCATCACATAAGATGAATAATGTTGTCAAAGATCATCAAGAAGAGGACTCAGAGGCTCTTCGAAAATGGTGATGAAGTTGAGTTGGACATTGAACATCGGAGGAAAAATCTCGCCGGTTCACCGAGGAGATTGTCCCAGAATTCCTTGTTCTTCTAAATCCAAATTCCAAATCTATCCGTCCAGCTCTACTCGCCCTCTCAGGAGAGCAACATGTCCTCTTCTCGCCGGCGCAGCAACCCTAAATCACATTCATCTGCAGCCAAAGTTGTAAGAAACATTTCTGAAATCGTGCCCTAGAAATTTTATGGAAGAATCAAAGATTCAGATGCAACGAAGAGAGGAAGCGAAATTCTAAGAAACAGAACGGAGAGGAGTTTCAGAACGGATTCTCGGGGAAATCGGCTCAAATGAACTTCAACAACTTTTGAAAGGTTGAAATGACTCACCCCTCCAATTATGCTTAAATAACCCACTTTTAACTATGATGTGTCAGAAGTAGGTGAAATGACCAAAATGTCATTAAATATATCAGATGACCGCTCGAATAATTCCCGACCAAGGTAGAAAAATTCTCGCCCGAGGTAGCTTCAATGTACGGCAAAACCAATTTAATGCACACAAACTTGTACCTTAGTAATCAGTACATGTCATTACTAATCTCAGAGAACATATGTCCTTATCGTGAATATTCTCTCTGCACAATCCTAAAAATCTGAAAAGTATTGTGAATATTCTCTTTAAAAGTTTCAAGATTTTGGGAGGAGTAGTTCTTTATTTTTTATGCTTTCTCCTTTTGCGCGTTAATCTTGCTTGATGTCTACATTTGAACATATGTGTTTTTATTTGATTCTCGTTTGGTTTATTTTTGTTACAGTCGGAGTAACAATAACTTTTGTTATTTTGTTTTAAACCCATATGTTCATTCCTCCTGCACTATGCGTTTTAATTTTCGGGTCATTCTCGAGCGAGGTGATATGATTCTCGACCAAGAATCATGTTTTTGATGAACATCGGGCGAGGTACTAAACTTTCTCGACCGGGGTCAGAGGTTTTCAAAACGGAATGTTTGTTAAACTTACCTCGGGCTTGGCTGCGTATTGAACTCCATCTCAAGCAAGAAAATATGTTTCCCGCCCGAGGTTGATGTATATTATATACATATATATTCCATCTCTAATTGTCTTTCAATTGTGCTTTGTAATGCAGAACAAAATGGTACCGAATCGAAACTCTCATACTTGGTTACGCCGAACCCGTGTACCCCCGTCAGAGATGAAGAATATTGGATTTTACCGGATGACTACGTGCCCAGGACAATTAAGCCACCAAAAGTTTTTCCTCGTGTTGGACGCTGCCACCGCATATTTTTCTTAATTCCATAATTCTCGGCCAAGTTATGGTCGACCCCGACCATAAAATTCAATGAGCTACAAAAATAGAGATTAAAGTTCTGTACATTTAATATGGAGGTTGTTCTTTATTTCAGTTCTACCAATATTCTCGGGCTCGAACTCGGTCGAGGTAGATACCGAGGTTGGTATTTTTTTCAGTTGTGCAAAAAACCTCAAGCGTGAACCAGCTTACCTCGACTGTAAAATACAATGTTCTTCAGAAATAAAGATTAAAATGATCCTAATATTGAAAACGCAGTCCTAAACTCCATTAATAATTGATGTTTTATCTCAATGTATCTAAACGAGTCCCTGTTAAATCATAGTCAATATACTTAAATTCATTCGTATTATCAAATTTAACTAAGTTACGTACAAAATAAGAAAACAATTCTAATGGAATATCAATAAATAGGTCTATTCGCCCAAAGTTGAAAAGCAAGTTGCCTCCTAAAGTATGCAATCCTAGACTGTCTTAGAGTATCCAATGCGGACCCGGTTACATCGTACTCAAAATACTTGACGCAGAAAATCCCACAGTCGCCACCGCCAATCTGCTGTGGAGCTGACTTAACTCGTTGAATCCGCCATGGTTGGATCGGTAGATTGGGTCGGACTTTCATAACATCACATTTGAAGAGCATTACTGGGATGATGGTGTGCATTACCTTCAAATGATCCTCTATAGCATGATCCGTGGTCATTGAATTCAAGGAGTCCCATACTACGATCTCGCCTTCCTCGAGGTCGATACATACCATTACCCAGTGCTTGCCCCTATGTTAAATGGGAGATATATGGCGTCCACTTCCATCCACCTCAAAGGATAGTCCATATGAGTGCCGTCAGTATAACCCATGATGCTCTTGTCACTCCCGTCACAATCGTACTCGACCGCTACTTTTGAAGGCAATGAACTATCAGATTGCATGCATGCATATAGACCATCCTTACGTCTGAAGTAGTTCTATAACGTCAAACTTAACCCAATGAGTCATCAACCTATGCACTATGACCAATTTAAAGTTAGTGGATAGGCATGAACACACGTACCGCAAGAACTAGATCGCCAGTTGTGAACTTCCGAGAACATAGGTCAGGCCGCTGCTCTAGCTTCTTCCGCACTAACATGAATAGCTCATCGACGACCTATGAATAGTACCCAATTTATAAACATGAACGTATACATATTTACTACATTTAGTGTGGTTAATGACCACTTACCTCGGCTGTGCACCAGTTACCTGGCCTCAATAGGTTGCGGAACCAGGCTTTATTCCTGATGGAGTATGCGGTCTTTCGTACTTCACGCTTCCGAAGTCATCTACTATTCCAAGCAGACTACTGTCGTACTTCACGCTTCTTTCTCGCCCGTAAAGTATAAATTCAACAAAGTATACAATTGAGACCTTCACCGCATCCCAATCATCCTCAAAACGAAGCACTTCATACTTCTTCTCAAACTCAGCCAAGGTTAGGTCTACATTATCATCGAAGTACA